CCACATTTGCTCCTTTGCCTGTCATTTTAAAATTCCCTGGGTGTAAACATTGGTTCCCTTGGCCCATAACCAGAGGGTGAAGTATGGCAACCACCCTCTATTAAGTGCAATTTATTGTTTGCATGCATGAGGACAAATCGTTTAACCTAGAAAAATTGCCTAGTACATTGGGATGCCTCATTGGAAAGGAGAATTCTTGGGACATGTCACCGACCCTCCAGCTGCCCGTGGCTCTCTGTGTCCTGCCCCAGTGGCCTAATGGATAAGGCACTGGCCTCCTAAGCCAGGGGTTGTGGGTTCGAGTCCCATGTGGGGTGGTTAATGTCAGCGTGGTGAGGTGGAAGTGTGTTTGACTCATAACCCAGAGGTCGACGGATAAAAACCACCCTTTGCTGAGAGAGATTTTTTTTAAAGGTACAGTTACTACTTGGGTGCCTTGTGAAAGCTGCTGCCTTTTTCTTATTTTATCTAATCTCATCTATAAAAGAGGAGCCAAGAGTCCTTGTTCAAATCCTGGACTTTTAAATTCTTTTGCCTATTGAGCGAAACGTCTTGCAAGTTGTATCTATATGAGTAAATGAAAACCCTTTAAGGGCCCAGCACGCTTCCGCTGCGCCACTCTGCTTTGGTCTGCCTCCAGGGGCGCTCGAACTCAGCCTGTGGATTAGACTGTCAGTGCATAATCTATTAGGGTACCGCAGAAGGACAAGCAAGTTACTGGGCAATTTAATCTGGGTTAACACACAAATGCAGTTCTGTAGAAGGACTATTTTGACTTCTTTCTAAGCCTTGATGCTGTATTTGCAAGTTCAAGATTACTTTGTTTTTCACTGTCGAGCTACGAAAATCATAAAAGACTGGTTCTCATGCATGACATGCGCAAGCTCTCTTAGCAGAGGATGGTTTCGATCCATCGACCTCTGGGTTATGGGCCCAGCACGCTTCCGCTGCGCCACTCTGCTTGCAAAAGCCACCTTTGCTCCTTTGCCTGTCATTTTAAAATGACCTAGGTGTAAACATTGGTTCCCTTGGCCCATAACCAGAGGGTGAAGTATGGCAACCACCCTCTACTAAGTGCAATTTATTGTTTGCATGCATGAGGACAAATCGTTTAACCTAGAAAAAATGCCTAGTACATTGGGATGCCTCATTGGAAAGGAGAATTCTCGGGACATGTCACCGACCTATTGCCTATTGAGCAAAACGTCTTGCAAGTTGTATCTATATGCGTAAATGAAAACCCTTTAAGGGCCCAGCACGCTTCCGCTGCGCCACTCTGCTTTGGTCTGCCTCTAGGGGCGCTCAAACTCAGCCTATGGCTTAAATGGTCAGTGCATAATCCATTAGGGTACAGCAAAAGGACAAGCAAGTTATTGGGCAACTGGAGACTTAGTGACTTGTCGCAATACTTCTCCTTTACACTGAGGCCCTATGAACAAGGCACTTAATCTGGGTTAACACACAAATGCAGTTCTGTAGAAGGACTATTTTGACTTCTTTCTAAGCCTTGATGCTGTATTTGCGAGTTCAAGAGTACTTTGTCTTATACTGTCGAGCTACCAAAATCATAAAAGACTAGTTTTCATGCATGACATATGCATGCACGCTTAGCAGAGGATGGTTTCGATCCATCGACCTCTGGGTTATGGGCCCAGCACGCTTCCGCTGCGCCACTCTGCTTCGGACTGTCGTACGGGGCATTCGAACTCAGCCTGTGGCTTAGATGGTCAGTGCATAATCCATTAGGGTACCGCAGAAGGACAAGTAAGTTATTGGGCAATTTAATCTGGGTTAACACGCACATGCAGTTCTGTAGAAGGACTATTTTGACTTCTTTCTAAGCCTTGATGCTGTATTTGCAAGTTCAAGATTACTTTGTTTTTCACTATCGAGCTACGAAAATCATAAAAGACTAGTTTTCATGCATGACATATGCATTCTCTCTTAGCAGAGGATGGTTTCAACCCATCGACCTCTGGGTTATGGGCCCGGAACGCTTTCGCTGCGCCACTCTGCTTTGGTCTGACTCTAGAGGTGCTCGAACTCAGCCTGTGGTTTAAATGGTCAGTGCATAATCCATTAGGGTACAGCAAAAGGACAATCAAGTTATTGGGCAACTGGAGACTTAGTGACTTGTCGCAATACTTCTCCTTTACATTGAGGCGGCCCTATGAACAAGGCACTTAATCTGGGTTAACACACAAATGCAGTTCTGTAGAAGGACTATTTTGACTTCTTTCTAAGCCTTGATGCTGTATTTGCGAGTTCAAGAGTACTTTGTTTCATACTGTTGAGCTACCAAAATCATAAAAGACTAGTTTTCATGCATGACATGCGCAACCTCTCTTAGCAGAGGATGGTTTTGATCCATCGACCTCTGGGTTATGGGCCCAGCACGCTTCCGCTGCGCCACTCTGCTTGCAAAAGCCACCTTTGCTCCTTTGCCTGTCATTTTAAAATTACCTGGGTGTAAACATTGGTTCCCTTGGCCCATAACCAGAGGGTGAAGTATGGCAACCACCCTCTATTAAGTGCAATTTATTGTTTGCATGCATGAGGACAAATCGTTTAACCTAGAAAAATTGCCTAGTACATTGGGATGCCTCATTGGAAAGGAGAATTCTTGGGACATGTCACCGACCCTCCAGCTGCCCGTGGCTCTCTGTGTCCTGCCCCAGTGGCCTAATGGATAAGGCACTGGCCTCCTAAGCCAGGGATTGTGAGTTCGAGGCCCATCTGGGGTGGTTAATGACAGAGTGCCGAGGTGGAAGTGTGTTTGACTCATAACCCAGAGGTCGACGGATAAAAACCACCCTCTGCTGAGATTTTTTTTAAAGCTACAGTTACTACTTGGGTGCCTTGTGAAAGCTGCTGCCTTTTTCTTATTTTATCTAATCTCATCTATAAAAGAGGAGCTAAGAGTCCTTGTTCAAATCCTGGACTTTTAAATTCTTTTGCCTATTGAGCGAAACGTCTTGCAAGTTGTATCTATATGCGTAAATGAAAACCCTTTAAGGGCCCAGCACGCTTCCGTTGCGCCACTCTGCTTTGGTCTGCCTCCAGGGGCGCTCGAACTCAGCCTGTGGCTTAAATGGTCAGTGCATAATCCATTAGGGTACAGCAAAAGGACAAGCAAGTTATTGGGCAACTGAAGACTTAGTGACTTGTTGCAATACTTCTCCTTTACATTGAGGCGGCCCTATGAACAAGGCACTTAATCTGGGTAAACACACAAATGCAGTTCTGTAGAAGGACTATTTTGACTTCTTTCTAAGCCTTGATGCTGTATTTGCGAGTTCAAGAGTACTTTGTTTTATACTGTCGAGCTACCAAAATCATAAAAGACTGGTTCTCATGCATGACATACGCAAGCTCTCTTAGCAGAGGATGGTTTCGATCCATCGACCTCAGGGTTATGGGCCCAGCACGCTTCCGCTGCGCCACTCTGCTTGCATTAGCCACCTTTGCTCCTTTGCCTGTCATTTTAAAATGACCTAGGTGTAAACATTGGTTCCCTTGGCCCATAACCAGAGGGTGAAGTATGGCAACCACCCTCTACTAAGTGCAATTTATTGTTTGCATGCATGAGGACAAATCGTTTAACCTAGAAAAAATGCCTAGTACATTGGGATGCCTCATTGGAAAGGAGAATTCTCGGGACATGTCACCGACCTATTGCCTATTGAGCAAAACGTCTTGCAAGTTGTATCTATATGCGTAAATGAAAACCCTTTAAGGGCCCAGCACGCTTCCGCTGCGCCACTCTGCTTTGGTCTGCCTCCAGGGGCGCTCGAACTCAGCCTGTGGCTTAAATGGTCAGTGCATAATCCATTAGGGTACAGCAAAAGGACAAGCAAGTTATTGGGCAACTGAAGACTTAGTGACTTGTCGCAATACTTCTCCTTTACACTGAGGCCCTATGAACAAGGCACTTAATCTGGGTTAACACACAAATGCAGTTCTGTAGAAGGACTATTTTGACTTGTTTCTAAGCCTTGATGCTGTATTTGCAAGTTCAAGATTACTTTGTTTTTCACTGTCGAGCTACGAAAATCATTAAAGACTGGTTTTCATGCATGACATGCTCAACCTCTCTTAGCAGAGGATGGTTTCGATCCATCAACCTCTGGGTTATGGGCCCAGCACGCTTCCGCTGCGCCACTCTGCTTCGGACTGTCCTACGGGGCACTCGAACTCAGCCTGTGGCTTAGATGGTCAGTGCATAATCCATTAGGGTACCGCAGAAGGACAAGCAAGTTATTGGGCAATTTAATCTGGGTTAACACACAAATGCAGTTCTGTAGAAGGACTATTTTGACTTCTTTCTAAGCCTTGATGCTGTATTTGCGAGTTCAAGATTACTTTGTTTTTCGCTGTTGAGCTACGAAAATCATAAAAGACTAGTTTTCATGCATGACATATGCATTCTCTCTTAGCAGAGGATGGTTGCAATCCATCGACCTCTGGGTTATGGGCCCAGCACGCTTTCGCTGCGCCACTCTGCTTGCAAAAGCCACCTTTGCTCCTTTGCCTGTCATTTTAAAATGACCTGGGTGTAAACATTGGTTCACTTGGCCTATAACCAGAGGGTTGCACCAATCCGCCTGTCAATCTCATTAACTAAATAATGTATCATTTTCAGACTTATCCTGTAATATACTGTCTTTAATTTACCACTGGTTATTTCTGATATTTTGGCAACATAAAAATGTGCTTGTTTTGTTGTGCCTATCAGAATAGCATGTAAAGACTCCGCCCTCTTCAGGAATGCAGCAGCTCATTTGCATTTAAATTGACACACAAAAATTGAATGCTTTAGTTTAAACCCAAATAACGGCACATTTGAGAACTTGATCTGTTAGGTATCACAAGCCAAAATTTCACAGACACATTCTGATGACATCAAACATTTATTTAAAATCTTATGGAAAAAAAGGCATTAACATTCTTCCTCCTTTCTTTTTAAATGTGAAAAACTCAAAAGATGTCTTTCTTTTCAGAGTACGGCCTTTGCTCGGTGTCCTTATACAATAAGCTTTATCTGGTTGGCGGTCAGACGACTATCACAGACTGCTACGACCCCGAGCGAGATGAATGGAGACAGATGTGTGCCATGAAGGAGAGAAGGATGGAGTGCGGATCGGCTGTCATAAACGGGTGCATCTATGTAGCAGGAGGATATTCATACTCTAAGGGAACGTACCTGCAGAGTATAGAGAGGTACGACCCGGAGATAGACTGCTGGGAGATAGTGGGAAACCTCCCGTCCGCTGCACGCTCACACGGATGCGTTTGTGTGTTCGGTGTGTGAAGTCATTATAGTAAGTCTGAGGTAAGTTAAAGGGGTACTTCGCCCAAAAATGACATTTAGTTTTTTGTTCTGTTGAACTCAACAAAACTGATTTATTGAAACCTGATTATGTTGGAAACCTTTAACCATTGACCTCCATAGTATTTGTTTTTTCTATTATGGATGGCAGTGGTTACCAGTGTTGGGGAAAGTTACCCTTAAAGGTAATGCATTACAATATTGAGTTACTCCCAGAAAAGTAACTTTGCTCAGTTACTTTTTATGAAAAGCAATGTGTTACGTTACTTTTGAGTGACTTTTTCATACTTCAAAGCTTGCAGGTAGAGGTCTGCAATAAATTTCTGAAAAAAATGCGGTAGTGGTTAGTAACTCTGGTGTAATATGAACTCGAGTAGGCATCTAACAATATAGTGCTCCTGTGTCCAGGCATTAATTCGCAATAGCATATCTGTGATTTCCTTATTCTTATTGAGCACTGGTACAGGCAGTGTTACAGGCTGTTACACATGCTGAACGCATGGACCTGTGCTTCTTTTATCCCACACAGTCTGTGCGTGTATCATCTGCAAACCGGGTCCTCAGAGCGGGCTTTACCAACATGACAGAGCAAAGTGAAGTTGTGCTGTCCTTCAGCTTGCATTAGAAAACAGTCAGTTAACTGTTAGGAAATCCACATCAGCCAAGTCTGAGGAACGGGAGTCTTTTTTATGTGTCATAGATGCTAATGGCAAAAAAATTACCCTTTGCGTGATGTGATAATACCTCAAAGTTTTCCCCTTTAGCAGTCACAAGCAAAATAAGTATTGAACATGTCACCATTTTCCCAGAAAACGTATTTCTAAATATGCTGTAAACTTTACTGGATGTTGGTTTTTACTGAGTGTTGATAACAACCAAAGAAATCCATGTGCAAAGAAAACAAATCTAGTTTACAAATGAAGTTATGTGCAATAAAATGAAATAACACAGGGAAGAATTATTAAACACATGAAGAAAGGGATGTGTAGAAAGGCAGTGAAAGCCCAGACAGCAGCTGAAATTTCTCAGTAGTTCTTCAGCAGCCCTCCGCCCTTCCTCATTGTAAATGAGTATCAGCTGCTTCAGTACATTAGCAGGAGGATGAAGATGAAACCAGAGTGAACATTTCAGCAAAACAATAATCCAAAACACAGTCAAGGAGACTCTCAAATGCTTTCAGTGAAAGAAAATCAAGCTGTAGAATGGCCCAGCCAATCACCTGACCTAAACCCAATAGAAAATACAAAATAAAGATTTGACAGACGAGACCCACAGAACTGTCAAGATTTCTACACTCTGTTGAGGTCTGTGAAAAACTCGCATCTGAGCAATACATGCGACTTCATTCTCCATATGAGAGGCATCTTTAAGCTGCCGTCATTACAAAAGCCTTTTATATAAAATATTAAATATGTTTCAGTAGTTCAGTACTTTCTCCTTGTGTCATTCCATTGTTATAACAATTTTCTGATTTTTTTTGTGTTGTTTTATTTTCATGTTTGTATTCTTTTTTTTTTTTTTTTTTTACCATAATCTGGTTTTATTCCATGTTAACAACTTCTTTAGAAATATAATATTCCTAGAAAAAAATGACGTGTTCAATACTTATTGCTGTTTATATGATCATATATTTTGTGGGAAGTGAAGGCATGACAGTGTGTTAGAAGCAGTTTGTCTGTTATCTGTGCCTGAAGATAAAGGGCTGCACTGTTTCCAAATATACACAGAACACCACTTCACTTTCAGCACAGTGACTTGCAGACAAAAAGCAGAACTATATTTACAATCAGGAGGTGCATTTATTCCTTATAGCTGTGGTTCTCAAACTTTTTTTTCACCAAGTACCACCTCAAAAAAAAAAGTCTCTCCAAGTACCACTATAATGACCAGTATTGAAATAAAATAGTGTAGTTGGTCAAATTAAGCAGCTACAGTACTACACAGTTCGAAAACAAGGCAGAGTCATATTCATTCAACGAAATTATATTCCATACAAAAAATGAAGCTGATCAGTCGGTTCTTATGCCGACTCGTGGTGCGGCATTCTGAAAAGTTAAGATGTTTTCCACTCGGGACGCCTGGAATACGCAAGCGCTTGGTGCTGCATTTCTTACTAATTTTGCTAGCCTATGGGTTAAATTTTGGCCCTTAAGTGATCGAGATGTAACAAGAGAATACAGTCATTTTTCTAAATAAAAGGTATATCAAAATAAATAATTTTGTGCGGTCTGGTACCAGTTGATCTATAGACCAGTGCCAGGCTGTGGTCCAAGGGTTGGGTATTACTACTCTAGCACGTACAGTATCTGCTCTGCCAGCACCACGCACCTCCTTCTCTAGTTCTGCACCAATTGAACAGATTTTTAGCAGCTGATGACGCGATGCACTAAAGTAAACATTCTAAGCACAACGCTTTGATCGTAGGCTTTAGAGAACAGCCAATACTAATCACATTTGTGTTATCGTACGCATCAAATGATTAAAATTGTATTTATTTTTTCTTTTGTTACCCAGTGATTCCTCCGCGTACCACTAGAAGTAAGCCTACGTAACACTAGTGGTACACATACCACAGTTTGAGAACCACTGCCTTATAGTATTGTTACATTTACTTGAATGATTTTGTATTTGTAATACAACTGTAAAAATATATGTGATGGTAATTTATTGTTTTTCCTACTGTGATGCTGTTCAACGTTGTACACTACACTGCCAAAAATGTGAAAAGCACAAATCTGAATAATGTTCCAACAGTATATTTGTAAAACTTACAGCAAATATTGGTATTCAGTCGCCAAAAATACACAGTCATTTGGGAACATTTATTTTAAAAACACTGAAAAAATTGTAATAAAATTTTGCAAAGCAACACAATCTTCTCCTTTGCCCCCAAAACCTTTACGTTGGAGTGAACCGAATGAAGTCCACTTGAATATCAACCTTAGGAAACAAAAGATGACTTATTTACAGTAGATTTTAATTTTGTGTGAAGAAAACATGTCTACATCATGTTTAAAAATATGTGGCAAAAAAACGGACTTACCGACTTCTTTTTGTGGAACTTATATGATGCCGGCAAGTCGTATCTAAGCTCTGTGAGGGAAAACACACACATTTATAACATGTCATAATGCTTTATAGTCTAGAAGGAAATTAATAAGAATATATCACACTATCCTACATTAATTACATCATAATGCTTTACTGTGCGTTCACACCGAAAGCGTTGAGAGCGTCCCAGGTCGATCTGGCCACCCTGACGACAACGCTGTCTGCCTTCAGCTCCAGCGGCAAGAGCATCAAAATTCGCTACATTGATCTCGTATTTAAAGGGGCCATTGAAGCATATCAGTTACATTCCTGCATAAAACATGCTTTCTAGTGTGAAAATGTTGCGCACTTCTTATTAAATTTATTTAACAATGGAAGATTGTTAATGAAAGTTGCCTGTGGTGTGGTTTTGCTCCACTTAATTATCCAATGTGTCCATATGTCTGAAATATCCTAGAGCAGCAATACTGTTTTGTATTGTTGCATGAGATTCACGCTTTTTTAAAGATAAGTATATAACATTAATGCACATTTGTAACTTATTTATTGCATAAGAAAACATTGTAAATAATTAGAAATCTGGCAACAGCAATAATCAAAATCTTGGGAACAACTTTGAGCCAAAGTTCACAGGTCTGTGTTCTCTGAACTCCTCTCAAGCAATGGACTTCTTCATTCTGACTGCTTGCCACCAAACCTCATCATAGCTCATTACCATAAAGTTGACTTGATTTCAACTCTCCTCGACGCCCACACCAGTGAAGATGCGCCGCGCTGCTCCTCGCCGCCAGCCCTCATTGAAAATAAATGACTTCTGGCTACATTGACGCTCTCATCGCTTGCAGTGTGAACATACGGTTACAGATGGAATGGAACGAATAAGAATATAATACCCATTTATATTTACTCATTAAGCAGACGCTTTTGTCCAAAGCAACTTATGTTGTGTTCACACCAGATGCGGAACGTGCGAATAAATCGCACAAATAGACGCCTGAACATTTCGAGTTTACTCGCTTCATTCGCACGCCAAATTCACTTCACAATAGACGCAGATTCACATCAGGGGCAGGGCTTCTGTCTGCCTGCGGTGACTCTAGCTTCATTGCTAAATGGCTAACATGGATTTTATTGAGAGAATAGCTGTTTATGTGCTTTATGAAGACTGAAAAACTGTATGTGTACTGAGTCCACTAGATCCATTCTGAGGTGCACCCAGCTCTGTGAGTTCATAAACTCCTCCAGAAGCTGTACCTGGATGATGTAAGTTTTCAGCGGTGGTTCTGACTGGGCCGAGCCCAGTTTGATGAACTGTTGTCCCGTGTTGGCAGGAGGATTTTCCCCTTGGCACACCAACAACAGGTGTTACGTCATAATCACTCCCCTACAAGAGAAAGCTCTTGATTGGTTAACACAGTGCGAGTGTCTGCTGAAATTCAGATTTTCCAACTTGACCGATTCTGGCGTTAAACGTTAAATTCACGCTACTTCATTCACGCAAATCACATAATTCGAGCGTATAGTGCCGCAAGATGTCTTTGCATTGACTTAACATGTAAATCACTCATGCTTAACGCTTCATCCACGTCTAGTGTGAACCCAGCATCACTATTGAGGAGGCATTCAGCGATTCAACACGAAGAGGCAATACACACAAGAAGTGCTAGTTGTATATAAAGTATCTTGTTTGTGCTAAGAGAACTTGTTAACTCCACACAGAAATGCCAACTGACCCAGCCGAGACTCTAAGCAGTGACCTTCTTGCTGTGTGGCCACAGTGCTAACCACTGAGCCACTGTGTCGCCCTTAAAGTTTTCACAATAATGTAATATGCAGCTCAACTGTTGACTGTCAGCATTGAAGATATTTTTTTTCTTGAGCGGTTGATAGTCAAGGTAAAAAATTTTTTTTATCAATGCTGAAAACTGTTGAGCTGCATAATATTATGTTATTGTGAAAAAAAAAACCTTTTAAAACAATTAGGATTTCACAACAAATGAAGTTCTAAAAATAATGATTTCAAATCTTTTATATTTTGATCCAATTCAGGATTGATTAATAAAAGCAGCCCATACATCTTTCCAAACTCACACTTTTGACCAGTAGAGTGTGTTTATGGATTCACAAAGTTTTTACCTGCGATGACTTCCATTTTCACTTTCCAGTCATTTGCTTTCTTCTGAATGTGCTGCAGGAAAATGCAAGTCTTCTTAATAATATATTTAAACAGTTAGAGGTATTAAACTTTGACATAATGTGGCAGCTTACATCTCGTGTTGAGGTCTTGTGAAGGGAATACACTGCACTGGTTGCCATAGAAATCGCTGTCTGCAGGAACTGCATGTCAATACCTAAAGTAAGGAATATATTGCTTAATATATTCATTTTCAATCTATAGTTTTGAAGTTGACAAAAACTCAATAACATCAATTGAAAAAAATGGAACCAGCCTAGAAAACATGTTTGATGACAGTAACTATCAATATGTTCTCATTCTGAAACCGTAGCCCTATTTACGTTTCTGGAGATCGTGAATTATGTAGCCGGAAGTACAAATGGCTGCATTTCATCAAAGGCACTATGATAAGCAGTTTGCTGGTAAGCGCAAAAAGGAATGGTGTCATACCAGCAAACCGCTTACCTTCATATGGACGACTTTCCAGCTGTTACCAGTTTGCCCAGTTAGCTCGCTGTATGTCGGGGGACTTATGACGCAGAGAGGAGATGACCACGATGACGGGGTTTGAGTCCCGTGAAGAACAATTCCAGAAAGCAGATAAGACAATAACAAAAGTCAAAAAATAAAATGAGTAAAAAACAGGGCGAGAATGTGGTAAATCATGGTAAAAAAAAATCAGGTAAGGGCTTTTCTTTTTCTGAATCGCTTTTTACATTTGTCGGTTGGGTTTAGGGAAGTAGGTGGGCGG